AATTAGTTTAAATATCTTTCATCTTAGCTGGGAAATCAAACATTTTTTGAAGCAATACCACAGCTATTGAGCTGCATATTTTTTTTCCACTTCATTGGCCGAAAAGGGAGAAAAAAAAACATTAAACATCAAAATCTGCTCATGTAGACTTTAATATTGAAGTACAGAGATTGATGTGACGGACTGGAATTACTTAGATGCTTATAAATGTGCTTTATGCGGGCTAATAAATATTCAAAATAACTTTAGATTGTTGAATAGAAGAGATGTTTAATGAATGAAATGTGGTGCATGAAAGGATCCACTTATTTCCAGATTAGCGTCAGGCATCAATCTCTGTCGGCCCTTCAGCTCTCTCTGCCCTCGCTGTGAAAGCTGGACAATTATTACCCATATTGTCAGGAGAAAAAAGAAGGGCCGGAAGGTCAAAGTTTAAAGTTGGACAACAGGAAGTGACCCTTTGTGTTCAATTTCCAGGTCAGTTTTTGCCCCACTGTGGACATGCTGTCGCTACCAAACAAGGGGTGCATTGTGTAGACACAGTGCTTCAGTAGAAATGGCGCCAAGTCTCACTGTGTGATCAACACCTGAAGGCTTGTTTTATCAGTCGTAGGTTCCCAGTATATATATATGTATATTTTTAAATCTATTAACTTTATATTTAAAGAAGCTGATGAATTGCAAATGTGTGTTGTTTTGCCAATAACTGTCCAAAACTTTATGTGCAAAAGCTTTACGTTTGACAGAGACCGAATGTGTGGGTGTCCGGAGGATTGCAGGAGCCGAGGTATACAGAGTGCTCGCCTTCCTCCAGTTTCAACCAGCTGTAGATGACTGGCATTGGAAGGAAAGCGGCCTCTGGCAGAAATAAGTGTAGAGATCAGCAGAGCCTCCAGCTCTATCTATTGTGGTCATGGGTGCATGAGTGCAGACTAGGCCAGACCTCCTGGGGACACACTCGGCTGCAGGACCTGTGCTCTGCAGCAGAATGAGATGGGGTGAAGGCAGTACTGCACAGACAGAAGCAAAGCATGGAAAATGAAGGGTTGAATCATGTTTTTTTATCCTGATGGCAAAAATTAGTCCTCCATGTTGAAGTTTAAGTACTACATGTTGGATGCAGAATAAAAATTTAACCACGTATCCTTGTGTTAAATTGTTCCAGTTATTTGATTGTCAACTGATTGCTATAACAGTTATAAAACATAGTGAACAAGTGAGCTACGTCTACAGTGATTTCAGCAAACGTGGTTCGGCTAAAGGGGAAAAACCACATTTTTACCATGAAGATTTGAGCCCAGTCCAAGGAGGCTGTGACAAAGTCTCCACATTTATAACGGAAACTGCTCATTGCACAACAACGGGAGGAGAACGAAAGAGACAGAAGCGGTTTCCTTTCAAATAACTTTTCCACATGGGGAAGCCATATCTACATTCTGAAAAACCTGCAAAAATCCATGAGTGGGAAAGCCACACAGATGTCTGGAGTATGGTTTAATTTTTCACAGTCCTCAGTTAAGGCATGTGAAGCTCTTTACAGCAAGAACACCAGAGACTTTTTGCATCCTCTGTACTCCTCCCCCCAGCACGTGTGTGTGGTCTCCTGCTGCTGGTCGTGGAGAGCCAGGTTTTAGAGGTCAAGAGGTCAGTACTGGGTACTGGAGTGTTTATGTTAGCAGCTCCTGTTAATGACAATATCCCTAGTGCTCCATCTCGCTCTCCTGAAGGAACAAATCAGCTTTAAAAAAAAAAAAAGTATTTATGATAATAAATAAGATTGCGATTCTATACATTTTTTAAAAGCAGATCTTCTCAGCAGAGTTTAGCACACCCTTCTGTACATTGTGTATATATTTGCTCACAGATGTTCATATCAAAGCATGGGAAAGGATGTCTGGATAGCATCCAATTTTTTTTTTTTCATTCTCGCTACCAACCACAAACACACAGTTGGGGCTTTTCAGCCCTGGCACTAGCCTTCCACTTGTGTTCCAGCAAACATCTCCACACACACTCTCACACACACACACACACACACACACACACACACACACACACACACACACACACACACACACACACACA